TAAAGCAACCTTTTAAATTAATAAAACTTAAATTTACAATTATATTATAAAAGTAAATAAATAACATTTTTATTTATTGTTGTTGCGTTTAATTTCGTTGACCATAATTCACATTATCAAATAAAACGCTGCATCTATATACCAGGTGAATAAAAAGTATGGAACGAAGCGTTTTTCTCGTAAACTAACCACTTTACAAAAAAAATAATTAGTGTAGCGTAAAGTCCAATTAAAATGTGACCATTTATCAAGAATAACATTTTTCGAAATTTCTTTTAGTTTTCGGGTTTTAGAAAAAAAAAAAAATTTTTAATGGCAACCCACCATGATAATTTTTTTAATTAAAGATTATGATCTAAAAATGACCTTTAATTAAATAAAATTATTTTTTAGCCAGTACTTTTTTTTAATTAATTGTTAAAGTTGCGTTCCGAGCTCATCACGAAGATTTTCCGAACTTAACCGAAGTGGTTGTTTCATGCTTTTCATCATGGGGGAGCGCTGATTTCTATGCAGGTGCTTTGGGGTGGTTTCGAATGGACTAAAAATAGAAGAAAATGATTTGTTTTTACATTTTTTGATCCATCCGGAACCACCCCAAAGCACCTGCACCAAAAACCGGGCTTTCCAACGATCAAAGTCATGAAACGACTCCCTCGTTCAAGTTCGGAAAATCTTCATGATGGGCTCGGAACGCAACTTTAACAATTTATAAAAAAAAAAGTACTGACTAGAAAACAATTCTGTTTAATTAGAGGTCATTTTTAGATCATAATCTTTAATTAAAAAAATTACCATAGTGGGTTGCCATTTAAAAAAAAAAATTTTTTCCAGAACTCGAAAACTAAAAGAAATTTCGAAAAATGTTATTCTTGATAAATGGTCACATTTTAATTGGACTTTACGCTACACTAATTTTTGTAAAGTGGTTAGTTTACGAGAAAAACGCTTCGTTCCATACTTTTTATTCACCTGGTATATAAAAGAGTTCCGTGATTGACACTGACTGACAGACAAGGCACAACCTAAACCACACAAGTTAGAAACATGAAATTTGGCAAATACGTTCCCTTAGAGGGTGTAGAGGTTCGCTAAGAAGGGATTTTTCGAAAATCGTACTCTAAAGGGGTGAAATAGGGTTTTAAGTTTATCGTGTGCCTTCGACAATTTTCGGTAGTTTCTCGCTGTGATGCATCGTTCCACTTTTTCTTATTATTATTTATATAGGTATATATGAGAGTGTCGTGAAAATTAATAAAGGATTTTTCAAAAATCAATCATTCAGACGATGAAGTCGGGTGTAAACTTTTAAACGAAGACAGAAACAAAAACTTTGGAAAATTTGTTCCTTAGCGGTTGTGAAGGTGCAGTAAGACGAGATTAAAAAAAAAATAAGTATACTCCCTTAATAAAGGGAAACGGTGTGTATACGTTTAAACGAAAATACAAACATGAAATTTAGAAGATATGTTTTTAGAGGGTGTACAGGTCCGCTAAGAAAGTATTTTTTGATAATCAATTTTTACGGGGGTGAAATTTGGTGTAAATATTTAAACGAAAATAGAAACATGAAATTTGGAAGATATGTTCCTTAGAGTGTGTAGAGGTTCGCTAAGGAAGGATTTTTTGAAATTCAATTTTTAAGAAGGGCGAAACGGGGTGTAAACATTTAAACGAAGATAAAAACAAAAAATTTTGGAAACATATTCTTTGGAGGGTTTTAAGGAAGGTTTTTTTTTTTGAAAATATATTTATATGGGTTGTCAACACTTAAACAAAGATAGAAAATAAAATTTGGAAGATATGTTCTTTGGCGGTTGTAAAGCTGCATTAAGACGAGATTTTTAAAAATCAGTTTCTAAGGGGGTTAAATGGGGTGTACACGTTTAAACGAAGATGAAATTTGGAAAATATAATTCTTAGAGAGTGAAGTGCACTAATCAGGCACTTTTCAAAAACCAACCTACAACGAGATGAAATAGGGTGCAAATATTTAAACGAAATTATAAACATAAAATCTAAAATTTTGACTTTTGAGGGTGTAGTCGAAAATTCAACGAGATGAAACGGGGTGTAAGTGTTTGTAACGTGCTTTCTGCTCCCGCATTGTTTTGAGTTGATGAATCAAGAAAAAAATTGATAAACAGACTAACTTTACATTCCACCTTTGAAATTAACAAAAGTTTATATCGGAAATTTACGTGGACGAAGTCACGGGTGCAAGCTAGTCGTCAAATATAGGTACATTAGTGTAATCCGAGACCGCTGTCCCATATTACCTACCTATCGCATTCGATAGGATGTAAAAACGAAATAAGTTCGTGAACAGGCATCAAGTATCAAGTACAAGTACCGGAATCAAGAGACCAATACCAGTGACAACACGAAAGTAAATACCGCAAAATACGCAACCCATGTTCGCGTACAGAGGTTTTGGATAACGGGAGGAAGCATGGGACCGGCGTCATTGAAAATATCGCAGTACCTGTTATTTACGGAGGGGCGAAACTGTTCCGTGGAACAGTCACTGAATACCTGTTCCAAAATAACAGGTTCGGTATTTTCATACCATCTCTACTTACAATTGTTAGGGATTTGATACGGCACAATACACATTATAGTACAATGTTCAATTATTAGAATTAATGATTAATATTCAAATAAAAGAAAATGAAACCACCTTTATCAGATAGCCACATATCAGGAAATTATTTACTTTTCGAAAAAATCATTAGTGTGAGATTGTGACGTGCGTATTTAATTCCTAATGGCATTATACACAAGCGAAATGTGGCCAAATTACGTTTTTATAAATGTACTAACGCCTTTTTGCTTTCCACTAAACAGGAGTGTGACAGCACATAACCTTATTAACTGTCAAAATCTTGTACACTCGGGGAAAAAACTATTCACCAGTCTAACTTGGCGCTCACGCTGCGCTTTGTTGCAATAGTGTTTCAAACTAACTAGTTGAGGAGCAGGTATAAAATGTTGAAAAACCCTTATTTAGTCTGGACTGGAGGACACGTTTCTTGAAAACTGTGTCATGGAAAATTTCTTCAATGAGTTTGTCCCAGGATTGAGTTTACAGGAGGATTTTTTTTATCTTTGATTATACGCCAAAACTGCAAAGGAAAAACATTTCTCGCTTTATCTGAAACGAGCAAATCTGTAATTAAAACTTTATTATTCTAACTTAATAGAAAAAAAGTTTTGGACTTATTTTTTGTGAATTATTTGGCGGTTTTACTTTTTTAATAACGATGTTACTTTGCCAAATGAGTTTACGCAAGAATGATGAACATGAAAGCAATTGCTGTTTAATAATGATTAAGCAAGTTAAATAAATATTGCGACAAATTATTAATTAATCATCGCATGAAAATATTTTTAACAGTAATAGGTATTTCTAACAATCTTCATCTTCGAAATCACTAAAGCAAAAATTGCTCATCGCTGTCATTGTCGGTTATTATAAGTTCATTAACGATTACATCTAAATGATTTTTCCCACTTGGGAAATATTTAAATATTGGTGTTCATTCGCGATCACCCGATGGCAAATAGTTCGGCAGTGGAACGGTAACTTCATGAATTGACAGGCGAACAAATTTTTGCGCAATCTTAGTCATTTCCATGCCACGCAGAATGCAGGAATGCATTGACGCCGAAGGCTACTACATTAATTATTAGAACATTGTATTTTTGTGATTTACATTTGATAAATAACTAGTTTCTTTCGTTTTTTCTATTTATTTTTTTTTTACTTTTAAACAAAGCAAAAAAACAGTGGTAAATTTAATTTTTCAAGAAGAAAAAAAAATTTTAATTTTATGCCAGCACTGCAAAGGAAAAACATTTTTTGCTTCACCTGAAACGAGCAAATCTGTACTTAATACTCCATTATTCTGATTCAGTGAAAAGAAAAGTTAATTTTTAATAATATAATATAAATATCGAGCGATCAAGATAATTTGTAATCGAATCATCTTTGCATCCAAGGACGTATGTCTGTTTTTGAATTAACTGCACGTGAAACGTCAAATAAAATGACAAGTCGAAAGGTAAAACGGCAATAAAATGGGCTGGATTTAGTCGCCGAGGTATAATAATACGAGTAGGACCGTTCTTTTTTGAAGGTAAATTATAAATTTGGTTATTATAATCATCACCTTTTTGATGCCATTTTACTTGACATTTTACAGACATACGTTTTTGGACTCGATTACAAATTATCTTGATCGCTCGATATATAATAATAATAATAATAATAATTTTTCTCTGCTTTTTAAATCTCATTACATTGGCGATTTAAATTTTTGGCAACGATGTCACTTTGAAAATTAATTAATTAATTGAATAATAATTGTTTTTGTTAAAAATAACTTTGTATTTTTTATCTTAAAGCTGTTTTTTAGAATTGCCATTTATTAAAATTATATTTTTCTTGAACATTTTTGTTATTTAACTTGCGTAAACTCATTTGGCAAAGTCACATTGTTATTAAAAAAGTAAAATCATCAATGTGATGGGATTTAAAACGCTGAGAAAAATTATTCACAAAAAATAAGTCCAAAACTTTTTTTCTATTAAGTTAGAATAATAAAGTTTTAATTACAGATTTGCTCGTTTCAGATAAAGCAAGAAATGTTTTTCCTTTGCAGTTTTGGCGTATAATCAAATATTGTTGAAGGTATCTTGAAAGAATACGCTTGGGCTATTAATTAAAAGAATATTTAATGAAGTGTAAAGTACAAAAGTAGAGGGCTCCCTGTATCACCAGCCTAGCTGTGTACAGACTAACTAAAAAAACTAATTCGCAATAATTGAGACTGGGAACCGGAAATCGACCCAGCCGGGGGTTTCGCAGAAACGATAAACAAAATCGGCGACGTTCCTGGAAACTATAGAGTTAGTTTTTATTACTTCAACAAATATAAAAAAAAAATTCTTCGTGTAAACTCAATCCGGGGACATACTCATTGAAGCAATTTTCCATAACACAGTTTTCAAGAAACGTGTGTCCTCCAGTCCAGACCAACTTCCTAAATAAGGGTTTTTCAACATATTATACCTGCTCCCCAACTAGTTAGTTTGAAACACTATTGCAACAAAGCGCAGCGTGAGCGCCAAGTTAGACTGGTGAATAGTTTTTTCCCCGGGTGTACCTAATGTGGCTCCCTCTCGAAATCAAAAAAAAAGGCACGGAACTAATGAATGCGACTAGCCGGGTGAAGGGAAACAGCCGTGCAACCTTATTAGATTTTTCTTCTTTACACTTTTGTTATGTCTTTTTCTCTATTATTAGTTGCGTTCTAGAAACTTGAGACTAATTTTTCGTTTTGAATGTGTGTTTTAAGTTCTTGATATTTTTCGGACAACCTTTTGAAGACTAAAAAAAATGTTTTATTATTTTTTCTTAAGAGGTTTGGACGTGACTTTATTTCACTTTAACTTTAATTTTCAATCATTAAAAAAAATTTCATAATTATTAACTTTCTTAGAAGTAATTAGATTTTTTTTATGTGACGGCTATGTCAGCGGCCGCCTTTCAAAAGCGAATGACTAATGTCTATAAAATTGTGACAATTAAATTTGATTGTCAGTGTTACCAAAACAAGATTTCAAATTTGTTGCGAACGTGTCGACATAAATCATAGTCATTGACGACACTCTCTTGTTAGAAGTGTCCGCTTTAAAATCCTTGTGAAAACGACAGAGATAAAAACGTACTATACAGGTGCGCCAGAACTCTCGCCTCAGAGAAAAATGTCAAGTGCTGGCGGTATAGGTCGCCAAAAATTACAGCCGAAGAAGTAACTTTTGTTTGCGTAAGAAAGTTATTAGACCCCTAAATTCACCAATCCCAGAAGGGCACCTCAGGGTGTTTTTGAAAAATTATATCCATTGCTCGGTTACAAAATTAATACCAATTTGCCTCGAACTTTCAAAAAATTGCTGGTTTACTGTAATTTTGACATTTATTAATTTCCTGTCATGTGTTGACATAACACGCTATTTTCTAATATTTTTATTCCCGAAGAGGTTGTACACAATTGTAATAGTTCGAATTTGTGTTAGATATCAATTGTGTGGTTAAGTTAATAAGTTTTAACCATGTAATCAGCCGCTGATTATTTGGAAATGATAATCATGTTTGGAGAGTGTTGGCGTAACGCCTGACAGAAATCACCAAGGTAATAAGGTCATATTCAGGGCCATTGCCAGGGTGCAAGAACCGGTCAAGTCTTACCAGACCGAAAAGAAATTAGGTTTTCCCAGAACGGTGCTCATAGTTGAAAATGAAGAAGCCATTCTTGATTTTTGAAGATGACACCAACCAGATGCATCAGAGAAATTGTAGGTGATCATTATAACTGACATACTCGTATTTGGGCAGAGGAAAATTCAAATGCTTTGTTTCCGAGGGCATATCAACTAATTTCAATATCAACATTGCAATACTCTTGTGGATTGTTTAATGAAAGAGGAAGCAAGGGGTCCTAGTAAATTCATGTGGGTGTAAGAAAACATAAATTACAGTGCAATGTGTGTTTTTAGGTTACAATTACATTACCGACCAAAAATACCTTGGTAATACAATTATGTTATTAAAAATAATCCTAACCTGTTTTGTTCAAGCAAAAATTCTTATAAAAAGTACATTTTCTGTTAGTTTTGCAATAAAGTAAAGAAACTGGCGTACGTTTTTGTCTTTCTGGTTAACCTAACTCGCTTCTAGCATTAGTTTTCGGCTTGTTGTCTGTGTCATATCGAAGAAAAAGTTAAGTAGGAACAATGCTTCTGAAGAAAACATCTAAAAGTTTTAGAGAAGTTGTTGGTGCATCGGAACGGAATACGAGTTTTCAAAAATTTTCAACGATTTCGTCTCATTATACTTGTACACAGCTTCTTCAGCGAGAAAAATATTCGAAAATTGCGTGTTATGTCAACAACATGACAGAAAATTAATAAATGTGGAAATTACAGTAATCTAGCTATTTTTTGAAACTTTTAGGCAAATTGGTATTATTTTTGTAACCTAGCAACGGATATAATTTTTCAATCACACCCTGAGGTGTCCTTCTGGGATTGGTAGAATGAAAAGTCTCTCAACTTTCTTATGCAAGCAAAAGTTACTTCTTCGCCTGAACTTTTTACCGACCCATTGCTTGCCGTCGCCATTTGGCATTTTTTTTCTGGGGCGCGAGTTCTGGCGCACTCTGCTTCCATGGTTTGGTATACTTAGCCAATACATCATACAATACAATTTAGTATTCATATGTATTTTTTTAGCCGCCCTAACATTCCTAGGGAATTATATTTCATTGTTCGTAAACATAATGGTAGATAAATATAAATACTGGCATGAGACTTTATTGAAGTGGTTAGAATCTGGAACCGAGGAACGAAAAGTTGGAATTGTGGTCCTTGAAGCTTACTATTTGGGTCTTGGAACTTTTTTATTAAATGATGGATCTTGTCGCTATAAAAATGTTACCGAGGTCAGTATGACATACTAATGGGTGTTTTTTTTTTCACTTTGGCGTAAAAGCTAGACATAAAAGTTTAACTGTGAACGAACCATCGAATTGAAAGTTCTCAATCCGATATTTGAATACGTTACCGGACGTATTAAAAATTCTGATCCGTTTACAACAAAATTATAGCCACCGCCAACTGAGACGCCAAATTAAAAAAAAAAAACACCCGTTAACTCTTTAAATGGAATAAATAGTAATGGTAGAATTTTAGTATTTTAAGGAATATTTTATTGAAAACATAACCAAGAATAAAGTTTTCAATTACGATAAAAGATTATGTTTGCAAGGTCTTTCCTCATTTTCTGGAGTGTACCAGTTACAATTAGAACAAGAAGAAATAAGAAAAGTGTTTGCACTAATAATTCAAAATTTTGAACAAATATATATACTCAATCTAGATCCTTCGGCTGATGTACTGGAATTTCTTCCTTTTTATCTACAAACTGTTGCAAAATTTCTTCAGTTTAAATCAGTTGCAAACAATGAACTATTTTGTCTTCAGAAAGGGACAATTTTACTGATAAAAATTTTTCCACAATTACCATATTACTGTCACCCTTTGGTAACAGAAGCTTTAATTTTGACATTTTATTATTTATCAGTAAACAGCGAAAACATATTCGATACTTTCGCTGAAAATGTAATATTCCAAGGAGTAGTTTGGACGTGTTCTCATCAACACATAACAGAAGCAGAACTATTAGAAACAAGTTCACAAAAGATTGTTACGATAAGAGATTATATTAACATGTGGAAAGCTTTACTGAAAATCGTACCAGTTCGTAGATATGATAAGTTTGGAATTTTTTTGCAAGAACGCAAGTACATTTTGGTTAAGGTAATTGATAAATTAATGAGGACATTATTAATTCTAATTAACAAGTTAAACGTATCGATAACATTGAGTGACACTACCGAAGCAGTAACTGACATACAGTCTGCATATAAACTGGATGCAATTAACGATTTTGCAATTTTTCTCAATCTGGTGGACTTCTACGAGAAAATTTTTGAATTCATTGAACCCACAGTGTTAAAGAAAAGCATTTACAAATTAATACATTACCTAATAGTCAAATGCGAAAATCATCCATTGATAAGTGGTTTTTACAAACTTCTTTCCTTTTGCTTAAAAATCTGCAAAGACATCAGTTATTTTAACTGTTCTTCCGAAGACGCTACGATGTGTCATTTAACACTAACAAAGTTTCTAACTTCTTTGTTGAATAAAACACAACAATTTACTGGCGATTTACTAATTGCTTGTCTTCAAGTTCTTTTGGAATATCCAATTCTTATAATTAAGGATATGTTAACGGCTTGCACTTCATCATTTCGAACAATCTTCTATGTTGGCCGCACTTCTATAAACTTAACACATTTGGCATTAGAAACTCTGGAATATTGGCAAAACGAGATTGATAGTGACGATTTCGAACCGTTTTTGAAGAAAATTATTCCACAATTAGATTCTTATCTGCAAAGTAAAACTTTGGAAGGCATCAGTACTGCCGTTAATGATAACAGAAGAAAAACCTCTCAAGCTCTAAAGAAGCGTAAGGTATTGGTTAATGTTGAACCAGAACTTTTTCAGCTTCAAGTTAAAATAATCAAATTTGTTGGACAACAAACTAGTTCATTGTGTGAAGCTTTTGCGATCTCTGAAGACCATGCGGACTTAACTGTTTGGACAAACGAACAACATTTAAAAATAGCTTTACCCTACGAAGATATTAAAGTACAAGTATACTTGGATAAATTTCTTCCAAGAATAGTAAATGTTGCTCTCAATAGCTCCGATAGGAAAACTAGAATAACAGCTTGTGAATTGTTACAAGCTACTGTTATGATATTTCTTGGTACAAGTGAGTATACATGTTGCAGGTCTGTCTGAATTTCAAATGACTACTAACTCTTATTTTAACCTTAAAATACCACTGGCAATTGTCGTTTATTTATTTAAAAGTCTTTAAAAAATACAGTAAGTTGCCATTTATGGCTGTTACGCCAACAAGAGTTTTATAGGCAATTTAAAAAGCGAGGTCGTAGTTTAAATTCGAGAAACTTAGAGAGCGAGAATTTAATAGACCGAGATTTTTACACTATAAAAGTTGTGTTGTCTTCAAAAAATTTTCCAACACTAATATAGGATCAGAAATTTTACTAAATTTAGAAATTGTTATAAAGGAATTTGTCAAAATTGGCAAAATGCCAAAAGAAGTGTATTTTATGTATCATCGGTGGACATAAAAAACTGGGACATCCAAAATTTGCGCTTTTGCGTACCGATTGGGTACAGAAACAAATACAAATACAAAATACAAGTAAGTTATAAGGAAAAGTAAAAAACAATAAACAGAATACAATCTAAAGCTTCTTCGTGATTTGATATAATTTTTGGTAGAGCCCCTATGACTGCAACCTCTTGATGAAATTGCTCTCTACGCTTGTAATTCACAACATCATAACTTTTTTTAAAACTGAAATATTTTTTAACTAGAATTATGAGTAATAAAGAATAAAAATAAAAATTGTCAGCAATTTGAAAATGACCGTTGAAACTCTTTGAACCTAAAAAGATGCTAGATCAATTGTATTTTTTGTAAAACCCTTGTAAATGTAGACATCTTTTATAAACTTATTTATAAAAAGCCAAATATACTCGATATAAAGTTATGATTTTTTGACTTGAACAATTGTCACGTTTGTCCCAGTTTTTTATGTCCACAACTGTACTTATAAAATACGATGTTATTGACGACGTACTTTATAGAAGAGCGTATATTAACGGCAACATAAGAGGTAAACTCAAATGCACCATATAAAATATAAAATATTAATGTTGGAAAAAGAAAGTTAATTATTTTTTTAAAACTTAAAAACAAAACAAAATTCCAAATATTTTATTGTTCAAAAACGATCACATAGTTAAAACATCGTGCCATTTCAATCGTCTCACTGGCAACTTCCCAACTGTGTTCTTTGAGGTGAAGTAGGTCAAAAACATTTAATTTATGTGTAAAACAAGAATCTGTCTAACAACCGGACCCTACTAACAAATTTAGGGCCAAAATGCTTCACTATTTCTTACCGAAAAAATATTGTGAAAAGTGGGTCATTTAAATAGCACCACGTATATATACACAGTACTTTATCATTGAACAATTAGTTTTTTTCAAAAAGCTATGCTGATTACGTCGCAATTGCGTTTTTTTTTTTTTTTTTTTGAGTGAAATAAATCACAAATATTTGATATCTGTGTAAAAGAAGAATCGGTTACAACTGAACCCTACTGACAAATTTAAAACCAAGAAACTCCGCTATTTCATACAAGAAGAACCTTCTTGTACTGAGCTACAGAAGATATATCGAGCGATCAAGATAATTTGTAATCAAGTCAACTTTGAATCTGAAAATGTATGTCTGTGAAACGTAAAATAAAATGACAAGTCGAAAGGTAAAATTATATGATCAAAAAAATGATGATTTTAATAACTACATTTATTATTTACCTTCAAAAAACCCGTTAACGGTTTTATTATTATACTCCAGCGACTAATTCCAGCCCACTTTGCCGTTTTATCTTTCGACTTGTCATTTTATTTGACGTTTCACGTGCACTTACTTAGTTTAAAAACAGACATACGTTTTCGGATCCGAAGATGACTCGATTACAAATTATCTTGATCTCTCGATAGCTTAAAAGTACAGAGAAACAAAAAAATGTTTTTGAAATAAATAGTTTGCGAATTGCGAGCAAATATTTTAATCCCTAATAGGACTTGTCAAAAGAAACAACTTTTCTATTACTAACTAATACGATGTTTACATTCATTCATAAAACAAAAACTACGGAACGTAAACAGCGTAAAGACAAAAAAAATTTCGCTACATTAGGATAGATGAGTGTCAATGTTAGTGGGTCAATACTTGCTATTATAAAAAAATTGCTCGAAATGTGCTCCTTTGTTGACAATGCACACTTGTACTCTTCGGGCTAGGGAAGCTTAATTTCGCACACACAGCCTTCGGAGGGTATTAATTTGAGCTGCGTACACTAATTGTTTCATGTGACCCCCACAAAAAAATCTAGATAAACGGCACTAGTTAAACGTTGAAGTAAAATGTGAGGTTCAATTAAAGCGATCTTCAATGATCCTTGCCCCAACATTTAGTGAAAATCGGTCTTGGAAGTGATGCCTGTACACCAGTCGGCGTTGGAGTAATTGACCACAAGACTTGAATAACAATTTAATTTCAAATTGATATGCACAATTTACCCGAAAGTGCGATTACAAGTGACTAAACTGACGCGTGGAAACAACAGATTTTTCCTTTTTTTTGCCCAAAAACTTTCACGATCAACATTCAATGCAAATTATTTTCATTGATATTTTTACTTCCACCTAACAAGGACAGACACACTGAACGGCTCGTGAAAATCATGGGGGGAGAATCCAAAAAAAAACTTGGATACGAAATTTGTTTGGTCTTCAAATTGACTTTTCATAACGAATTCTTTTAATGGATAAAATATTTGCAATCCGCAAACACCCTGTATAATTTTGTAAAATCAAGAAGGCTCTGACAAATTGTTTTTCAAAATTTTTCGTAAACAGTAAAATGCCAAAGATTTTTTTTTCAGACTTATTTTTGAAGTTTAAGGGACATTCTGTATATCTATACTTGTACTTGTATCAGCATGCAAATTTCACATATATTTTGTTTTTAGCTAAACAAATGTCGCTTTCTGGACTGTCCGACTTGAATGAGTTGTTGAAGCATGTATCTGTTCCGTTGCTTCGATTAGGATGTGACATGGATCAAGTTGTCGAACAACTTTTTAGACCATTGTGTTTTCAATTAATTCATTGGTACACTCATCCTGTTCAATCACGTAGTGGACATAGTGCCATAGTTATTGAATCTATTTTGGTAATTGCTATTTTATATAATCTACAAAACTTGTGCTATTTTCTAACTTAACAACATTTTGTAATGTAACTGTACCGCAAAAGTAGCAACTTATGATTGGTTATTTTTTTCATATCATTTCTATGAAATCATATCGTATATCATATCGTACGGCCTCCTAGATTAACAAAAATGACTTTGTCTCTAACCGGACCGCCATATTTTTAGTTCAAGGTTTTTTTTATGTTTTTTAGGGAGCGCCACAGTACAATGCAATATGGTTGCCTACTTTTAGACACTATTTAACAGTACTTTATTTTGCATGGAAACCATTATTTTTATGTGCGTTTATAACTTGGCTTACGTAACCCATATTACTAGAGTGTCCTTCAGTTGCTATACTTTAACAATTTGTTGAATAAAATGTCAAGAGAACCACAGTACAGTAAGTTTATGTCAAACATTGAAACAGCCATTTTACAAATTTTGCGGGGCGGATATAGACAGGGTCTCTTTGTTAATCTAGAAGGCCGTGGTTTACAGAAACCTATAGTTTTATAGCATCGGACAGCCAATTTTATTAATGTAAATGGCAAAGGGTCGGTTTATAGAAACATCATTAAGTTAATTGCAATAATCAAATGTCAGATTAACTGAGCACGTGACCAGATTGAACCAAGCAAATGTTCAAATTCACGGGTTAATCACGCATTAACAATTAATTAATTTTTAATTTGCCTTCTATAAACCGACCCAAAGTATGTTTAATATCTCCTTGTAGTATTTAAGTAAAATCGGTTGCCTATGTATTTGGAAATTTAAATTTCCAATAATCATTATGTTGCGTTTGGGATTCTTCATCTTCTTGAATAACTGGCGCTGAACTTGGTAGCTGTTCCTGAATTTTTTCTCTGTATAAAGTATTACACAAAAAATTGAAAACTCATTAAAACGACACATCAACTTTCAAAATTATTTCAATCGTATGTATGTACAAGGCTGATTACACGTCCAATCCAATTTAAACGTATTAATGATTACCTCCGTGAACACTGCCTCTTGAAAAAAATTGAGTATAGAGAATTTAAAAGTTTGAAGGATGGAACTATAAATTCTTTTATTTTATACTCAATGTTAAAGAGTGCTTTTATCGTCTAGTGAAATAAAGTAATTTTTATCTACTGTTTATATTTTATCAACTACTTTCAGTAAATAAAGTAGTCTTTTATCGTCTAGTGAAATAATAGTTATTTATTCGACGAGTTTGAGTGTAAATCGGACGGATTATCTCACCGAGTGGGTTATTAAACCACGAGTGTAACGAGTGGTTTATCATCCACGAGGTGGAATAAAGCGTCCGATTTACACTCAAACTAGTTGAATAGAACATTTTATTCTTCGAATTAGACTCAATAAGGCTTAAGCTTGCTTTAAATCTGTTAAAAATAATCCGACGTTTCGTATTGAGAAATGTCAAACTGTTGTCAAAACTTCTTTACACAGGAGAAAAACCGTAAATTTTGACAGTGTCGAAGAATAAAGATTGTTCATCGTCTTGTATAATAAATAACTATTGTCACGACTAATAATTTACTTATTGTATTAATAATTATTAATCATTAGTCACTGCTTTTTTAAATAAGTTGAAACATCAACTTCTTCAGTATCAAAAATCGAGCCAAAAATTCACGTTGAAATTTAGTTAAAATTAAAGTTTAAACCTAAATTCGGTGTATTGTAGCCAAATGTGTTACATGAAACCGCGGAAAAAATTGTTCAATGTAATTTTTGCTCGTATACAATAGGTCTGCTAGTTGGTAACAATTCAAAATTAGAGCATCCATCTTCTTACGCAAGCGTAATGACAATGAATAAAAATATTCTACAATCTTTGACTACGAATTATATTCAACGGACTATTTAATGGACCAAATGGCAAATTTGCGTTGTACAATCATGATTTCATTTTTATAGCAAGTTCACTGCAACCACTCGTGCAATATCCAGTTATATTTTACCAGGAGTGGAATAATCGCTTGAATTTGCTTTTGCTAGGATACGAAAGTAAATATCTGCTATTTTATGGAGTAATATTTTAAAAAAGATAGGTGAATTGAATAGTCTATTGAAAATATTTTTATTCATGGTCATCACGCTTGCGAACATCATTTGTGCTGCGCTCTCATGGTGTTCATAAAGCGAATGATTATTTATAAAAATATTCGACAATTTTTGACTACTCGTTGTATTACAACTAAAAATTCAATAAAAATATTAATATTAGGTTTTTTTTCCTCTTAATGTTGTTGTGGAGCTTAGGAATTAATTAAAATATAACCAATGAATTTTAAGGTTTATTTATTAATCATTACGTTTCGGGAACGGCCTTTCCATCTTCAGATAATATTACATAAGAAAAATATTTTTAACGGTGTTAGACCATAATTCCTCTGTGGTCTCTATCTTAATGTTTGTTAAAATTTTACATATATTAATAATTTACATTTGATTTAGTCACATGTTGAATATGAGGAGTCCCTTTAAACTATTTGCGTCCAAACATGGACAGAACATTTGTGAACATAATAGTCAGTTTTTAGATAATTGTTAGGCCAAGCACAAAACACTTCGCAAAATGGATCTTTAAAGGCTAAGTTACCAAAGTTGCTATGAGGACTATAAGTACAATCGAACAAAGTGAAAATGACGCTTCAATAAACCAACCCCTGCTATGGATGCCGACCCTTCTAACCGCAAGCAGGCAGGATTGCAAACTTGAAGTAGTTTCAAGATAAATTCCTTTAGGAGCCGGTTTACAGAAAGCGAAATGAAAATTAAATTCTTCTGAATTTAATTTTAATTAATTAATTTAATTCTTTAAACTAATTCGAGTTAAGTTGACATTTATTTTGCACTGGCATTTATTTAATGAAAAATTTAACAAACCATTTCTTGAAGAAAATTATGCATTAATGATGACAATGACGAAAAAACAAATCATTATTTATTTATTATTTTTTTTAACTG